GGTCATCGCTACTGGGCCTTTTGGCTAAGATCATGTGTAGTATCAAAAAGTTCTACACATGAACTTGCTGAGTCGAGTAAGTTTGAAAAACCCAGAATCCAATACCTGCCTCTCTTGGAGGGTCAGATTTTCACATGAGCATAGTCAAGGCTTGGAGAAGTCCTGTAACAAATAAACCTACTTCTTTTTACCATGGAATCTTTTTTTTTTGGGGGGGGGGTAAATAAAATCTATTAAGTCAGTGAAGAACTTTTCCAGAACCACTGAATGGATACTCATACTGAGGGATGAAACGTTGAGGACCAGGTTTGAGAACTGCCTAGATGAGATAAATGAAACAGAGATGCTTAAAGGGACGAAGGGGTGGCAGTGGGCAATCAGCAGTCCCACAGGATCCCCAGAGAAGTAGCTTTAGCAGCACAATCACCACCTGAGCTTCTGCCCGCCCCAACCCCCAAAATGAAGTAAGCTTCTATGCTACCCTCACCCACTAGGGCAGAAGGTGGACAGCTTTCAGTTGGGCATATAATAGGCACCATCCTACTTCCATGTACTGGATCCAAAGTCCTTTCACACTTCTTGATGCACCCCACCCCCACCCCAGCACTTAGTCCCTAAGACATGCTGGATATTTTTTAAAAATTTATTTATTTTTAGAGAGATGGGAAGGGAGAAAGAGAGGGAGAGAAGCATGGATGGGTGAGAGAAACATCGACTGGCCACCTCCCACATTCCTCCAACTAGGGACCTGGCCCACAACCCTTTGGTTGGCAGGTCAACACTCAATCCACCGAGCCACACCAACCAGGGTTTTTCTTGTTTTGATTTAAAGATTTAGAGGGGGGAGAGAGAGAAAGAGAAGGAGAGAAACATAGATGTGAGAAACATCAATCAGTTGCCTCTCCTTGCATGTGCCCAAGCCAGGGATCCAAACTGGCAAATCCAGGCATGTGTGCTGACTGGAATTGAACTGGGGACCTTCCACTTTGTGGGACGCCACTCAACCAACCAAGCCACATGGGCCAGGGCCTAAGACATGCTGTTTTAGCATGCACACTACCCATGTGTTCTGGACCCTCTCAAAGCTGGGTTTTCCATTTTGTTTCAACTCCTCTCTCCCAACCTCAGAGTTACGTTCATAACATTAATATAGCTTAATACTTATTGGGAATTTACTATATGCCAGCCCATTCCTAAAGATTTAATGCATTAAAACTCTTACCCTCCCAATGACTCTATGATATATTACTATTTCCCCACTTTCATGCATGAGGAACTGAAGCAGAGGAAAGTTAAAGAACTTGCCCAAAGTCACACTAAGTAGTAAATGTCAGGTATGATTCAAACCCAGGCTCCAGAGCTCAAGATTGTAACTACTCACCCACCTCACACTTACTTAGTTTTGTCAACTGGTCAAGGTCTAGTAATACCTCACTATCCCAAGAGGAAGACATGAGTGGATCAATGACTGCAAAGCCTTTCCAAGATGTATACCTTGAAGTCCCACCTGACAGAGTATGACCCATAGACTTGCCAAGCCCAGCCCTACAGCACTGGAGCACAGCCAGGGCACTCCCAGGCTATGGCCACATCTATATTCAGCAAGAGTTGAACACCAAGATAAGTTAAAAAATAGGTTCACTGGAAAAAGGTTCAGAATTCCTGGTCTATTTTATCCCTAAGCCTCTACAAACTATCTAAGCCATTTCCAAACAAATTCCACCTATACAGCAGACTTACTTTGGAGCACACCCACACCCTTCTTCCCTCTCAGGTGTGCACCTTCACTTTTCTCTCCTAAATGCTCTGGGTCCCCATGAGACTTGCAACCAAGGGAGCAGTGGGCAGCCTGTCCCAGGCTAACCCCCTGACCCTGTTTCCAAGGCCCCTTTTCTCTAACTTTTAAGTGAGCTGACAGGAGCACCCGCCTTGGCGCACTTCTTTCCTACATTTCCAGGGAACCAAAGCAGAGCACGGCCTAGATTCTCTCCTGTTGCTTCTTCCACCCTAAGCCTTTCCTTTGTGTCACTGTCTGTAGCTTTAATAAATGTACTTGCAAAATTAAAAAAAAAATCTACTTACTATGCCCAAAAGATACACTATATTATCCTAAGCAAAAATCTTATTTTCCATATTCAATTCACCAAATAATGATTTTAAAGCCTCTTCATCATTAGCCCTGGCTGGCGTAGCTCAGTGGATTGAGCGCGGGCTGGGAACCAAAGTGTCGCAGGTTCGATTCCCAGCCAGGGTACATGCCTGGGTTGCAGGCCATAACCCCCAGCAACCGCACATTGATGTTTCTCTCTATCTCCCTCCCTTCCCTTTCTAAAAAATAAATAAATAAATAAATAAATAAATAAATAAATAAAATCTTTTAAAAAATAAAATATAAAAAGCTAGTCTTTAAAAAAAATAAAGCCTCTTCATCATTGACTTTTAGGTGGCAGATGTGTACTGTCTAAACACCAACACCAATTTCTTTTTTCTTTTTGTCAATTTCCTTGCCACCCTTTCCTTTTGGTCTTTAAACAGAATCTGGGGCCCCAGGACAGACACAAAAGTGTTGAGTCCTCTAGGAACACTGCTGGGATCTCAAAAGGAAATTGGTTTTGGCCCTGGCCAGGTAGCTGATCTGGTTAGAGCACTGCCCCAATACACCAAGGCTGCGGGCTCCATCCCCAGTCAGGGCACATTCAAGGAGCAACCAATGAATGCATCACTAAGTGAACAGCAAATCAATGTTTCATGTGCGCTCTCTCACATATCAACAAATTTTTTTTTAAGGTAAACTGGCTTTGACAAAAAGGAATACAGTGTAATAGTGTCAGCTCTCAGGTCAGAATTCCTGGGTTCAAATTCTGGCTCAGTATTTACAAGCTGTGTGACCTTGGGCAAGTTACTGACTCTCTAACTCTGTTTCCTCATCTATAAAATGGAATTCTTTAAATAAATAGAAATCACAATACAGTCCTCACTAGACTGCATATAGACAGTGAATGAGATGAGGCATATAAAGTACTCAGCAATGTACCTGGCATAGAACAGTCAGTAAATATTAGCTTTTTAATATTCTTTAAGTCTCTTGTCCTTCCAAAATTCAGAGGTTTATATTTAAACCTGTGTGGTTTCAAAAGAAAAAGAGCTTGAAGTGGGAAGGTGAAAACAAAGATTAAATATTCTTTATACGGACTAGTAAATCGATTACCCTACATGGAAAATAGGGTGTGCGACAGAAGGAATTACCACACTGCCCGTGAACCTTCCCCACCCCATTGACAAACTTCGGCAAATCTTCACCTCTCTTGGGCCAAGGATCTGAACTTCTATTTATTGAAAAGGTGGAACTCAGTATCAAGGTAAGTGCCGAGACATAGTCATAATGCCAAGGTGTGGAGAAAGCTCAAACTAAAAAACCTGCCCGCTGCCATTCCAAAATTTGCAACCAATAAAATTCACACACAAACAAAAGGTTGAGAACTGAGTTAAACTGACAGTTTGCCATCATGTCACTGTACTGTTAACAAAACACCCTGAATACCAGGGCACTTTGCAGAAGAATATATCTGGTATGGGGCATACATATCACATCAATATTCCCATCTCATGTTATAATGCTATTAAACCAACCAGACTGGGAAAAACCTAGGATAATTTAAAGACTTCAAGACCCCCATACTCTCTGAAACTGGTACATATTAACAGAGACTCACTACCCCATCTCCCCATTTCCGGCCAGAGTAAATAAATTTACACTGGAACTAACCTAAAAGGGTAAACCTGCAAAGGCTGGTTCAGGAACTTCCTAATTCACTTGAGACTGGCCTGTATCTAGCCTCCACTGGTCAGGAGGAAAATGCTTCAACCTGGGAACAGTGAGAAGGCACTAGGCCGTTGGTGCTGTCACACAGATGACAGTCACCTCGGAGTCACTCTGTACTTCACCAATCTCCTTCACAGTCCCCCAACAATGCCAACAGCATGGGTAAGACAGTCATAATAGTGTCAATGACCCCTGACAAGGAAGACCCAATGCAGTTCATTTAAATTCTCAGAATCTGCCTGGCAAGAGTCTGTTCCCCATACCTAAAAAGACTCTGGCCACAGCCCCAACTTACTGAGCAAGAAGAGGCCCTGGAGTACAAGAGTGACAATGTTTAAGTCCCAGGAAAACTGAAGTTCCTACCATTCACTTTCAGAGAAGGGACTGTTTCCCTTGGCTTATTTCAGGTTTGTTTCCTGAAAAAAAAAAAAAAAAATCTTCCTTCCACTAAACACTTTGAAAACTAGAACCTCCTAACTGTGGAGAACAGTTTTCTGGACAATAAGATCTCTTAGACAGTCAGCAGAACACAGACTTATTCTGGGCTGGCCACAAAAAGCTTTCCTTCTCTCATCAAGTCACTAGGCTCACCTCCGCGGAGGGAAAAGACGGTAAAAGTATTTTGGAAAAATGCCCAAGAAAGGAAAAAGCTAACCGGTTTCCTGAGGTTGTCTCCATCCCTCCTGGCCTGTGTGTGGTGACTTCCTACCAAAGGCCACCAGTGGAGTATAGCCAAACCCGGCTCTCCAACATTGCAGGAAATGTTTCAAGCCTAAAAAGCCACTTCTACGATTATCGGATTCATTCTGGGCACTGCTGCCAAGTGATGCCCCCGCAGTGCCAACATCCCCCTCAGCTCTTTGTCCCCACGGTGCCCAGCCCTGCCCTTGTGCCTGGGCCGGGCGCTGGCCCCACCCTGGGGCCAAAGCAGTTCCCCTTCCCCTGGGCTGTCCTCCCAAGGCACACCCAGAGGCCTGGGTCAGCAGCTCCTCCTCCCCCACGCACTCCCGCTGGTCTGTGGGAACCAGCCCCGGCATCAAGGCGCCCCCTGTCACGATCACTCCAGCCTTCTGCCCACGTCCCTCGTGGGGGTCAGGTTGAGAAGAGCAGCCGCCAGGCTGAGGAGTTCCGCGGCCCTCACCCCCGCCCAGGGCCTCCCGTCCTGTCCGTCCCTCACCGGGCGGAGGCTGGGCGGGCGACGGTGGCACCGGCGGGCGCGGGCCGCTGCTGTTGATGATGTAGTGGGAGACGCGCGAGTTCTCGGAGACGCTGAGCACATAGTCCCCGGGGCTGGTGCTCGAGTCCCGCACCAGGAATACCCCGTGCCGCTGGCCCTGCAACAGCGCCACCGCCTCCTGCCGGCTCAACCGCCCCCAGTACCAGCTACTCCGCTCCTCCGAGTCGAAGTTGCCCGCCATGGCCGCCTCGGTGCCAAACGCTGGGCCGCCGCCGCCGCCGCGCGCGCGCCTCTCCAGCCCCGTCGCCCGCCGCCCAGTGGACCGGCTCGGGTCTCAGCCTTACAGCAGCGCCCGAAATGGCGGCGGCGGCCGCGGGCCTTCCCGACCGGAAATGACGCACTCCCTATCCCCGGGAGGTTGCCGGGAAAGGGACCACCGCCCGCCATTGGGAGAAGGGCATGGGACAGCTCCCTCACTCACTGCGCATGCGGCCTCATGGGCGTCGCCGCCTGGCGGGAACCGGGACTGCAGAGGAGGGAGAGGCGGAGTCTAGGACCATGGGGCGTGGCCTCAGCCAGCAGTTGGCCGATGTTCGAGTCTTTGCTGTTGACCATGCGGTTCCTCGCTCTACCTGGCTTTAAATTCCTGAATGGCCCGGGTCTTCAAGGTAGCAACCCTGAGACAAAATTGAAATAGAAAAGATAATATGGCCCCAAGGCCTGAGCTACCTGAGACGGTCTTTTTCTGACGATTCCTCCAGCTTCTGCCTTCCCACGCCACCTAAAGCTCTTGTTTTCATTGATTCATTCAACAGTTATTGACACATTTGCCCTGTGGGTGCAAAGGTAATCAAGGCTGAGCCCTTTCCTCGTTGAATTCTCAGGCTCGTGGGAGGAATCAGAAACAGTCCAAAGGAATGCCGTGCTAATGAATGAGGAACAGACAGATGCTCTAGGAACACAGAGCAGGGCCCCCTAATCCAGTCTATAAGGGATGCAGGAGGGCTTCCCAGAGGAGTTGGCCTGTGCTGAATTAATGTTGAATGACAAAAGGGGAAGGGCATTTAAGACAAAGGGAACAGAGTGTGCCAAGTGAGATAGAAGTCTAGAGTTCCTGTATTGGGCTCTCAAGTCATCCGCCCAGATTCTTCTAAACCCTAATTGTGGCCAGAGGTATCTGCTGCTCTCTGTACCTTCACGATCCTCTCTCTCTCTGTATTTCATATCTGTATCTGTGTTCCTTTGCACAGACTGCTTGTCTTGCTGTCCCTGATTGCACTGCACACATTGCCAGTATGCTCTTTCTAAATTACAACTCGGAGACTGTCGACTGAGCGTAAAACTTTTAACAGTTGCCAGGTGTTCAAACTCCCAGTTGAGCTCACAACATAAAAGTGGACCACAGTCTCATCTTACTGCTTCTACATGACGCTTGTGTTTCCTCTTTCTGAAATACCCTTCCACTCCTTTTGGGACATCAAACTCAAATGCCTCCCCTTTCCTTTCCACCACATCTCTCCCTCTCTGCATGGGCAGCACTGTGTTCATGTTATGTCCATTACAGTTCTTACCCAATGTATTGTAGTCTTTCATTTGCAGGTCTGTTTGTTTCCCATAACAAAGCACCTCAAAGGCCAAGCATCTTGTGTAGGAGACACCCCATAAATGTTTCATTATAACAGCTAACAGCTAACGTTTATTCAGGGAATACTACCCTCAGGGCATAGTGCTGCCCTTATGTGGATCGCCTTATTTAATCTTCTCAACGACGTTATGGGTTGGTATTTTACAACTATCTCCATTCACAGTGAAGTTCAGTGAGCTTAAGTAACTTTGTTTTTGTCCAAAGACAGAGGTGCTAAATGGAGAGCTGAGATTCAAATCCTGGAGAAGAGAGCTATGGTCACTCTGTTTTATTCTCAAACATCTGGGATAAGAATGGTGGAGGTGGCCAGTGGGGGAGGATGGCAGAAATAGACATTTTAAAGAATGAGTCAGCCCTGGGTTATGATCTTACTCGAATAACACACCTCTTCCAGACCCACTTCTCACACCCTTGGGCCTGCTCCAGGAAGGGGAGGGGAGCAAAGTCACCTTACCTGCTGTGGATGACTCATCATGGTGACCCTGACTTAGTCACAGCATGTCACCACAAGCTAGCAGCAGAAGCCACCCAGTGTGAATTCTGCCCTCTGGGAAAGAGAAGTCCCTGCCCCTCACCTTCCCAGGATGGCCTAACTTTGAGGCAGGACTTGACCCAGAGACTTCCTGTGAGGCTCTGAAGCCATGTCTTTAAGCCCCATCCTCAGGGGCATATGAGCATGAGGGGAGGGTGGGGGGAATACTCTAAGAAGGGAAAAAAGGAAAGCACAGACAGGAAGAAAGATGAAGGAAGGGAGACAAAAAAAACAAACAAATCATAACTAAGCTGGAAAATAAGCAAGGAGATTGCCCCAAGCAGCTACTGAACTGTGTTCTTCCTTGGAGCATAGAGAATCTACTAATTCAGAGAACAACAGAGTAGAAACAGAAGCTGCCTTGGGACAAGAAGAAGACAAGTCCACCCTGCCCCTTTTCTCCTTTCTCTTTCCTTCCTCCTCCTTTTCCCTTCCTACATCGGGCTTTGCAGCTGTAATGGCAGCTCTTGCCTCTCCACACCCACCCCATAAGCTGAGACCTGCCTTACAAAGAGTGTGGCCTTCTTGCTTAGAAAGGGCTCCAGTGTTGGGTTGGTCATGGGGAGAAGCAGAGGTGAATTAGGGTGAAAAAGGGAAGACTGCCCTGTTCAAGAGAAAAACACCAAAGGTCTTTACTCCCTGTTCCATCCAAAGTAAGACATTCCTTATCATAGTGATGGAAGAGGAGCAGGGAGGTTAGCGACCCGCCTGCCTACCTGCTCTGTATCACCTAAAATAACCAGAGCAGCACAGCTGTGCAGGTTGTGGACTACACGACTCCACGGTAATGTGACAGAACCCCCTGGAATTTGGCTACTCATACCCACTCTGCATTAAAAAAAAAAAAGGCAAACAGAAAGCTTATTTGTATCAGGATGACAAAAATTAGCCCTGGCTGGTATGACTCAATGGATTGAGCACTGGCCTATAAGCTAAAAGGTCACTGGTTCAATTCCCAGTCAGGGCACATTCCAGGCCCCCAGTAGGTGGGGTGTGAGAGGCAACCAATCACTGTATTTCTCACACATTGATGTCACTCTCCTACTCCTTCTCACTCCCTACCCATAAAAGTAAATAAAGAAAATCTTTTAAAAATATGACAAAATTATTATTAAGAGAGAAAACTGACACTATCACCTTCCAAAGCAGGCATGTCAAACTCATTTTCACCAGGAGCCACATCAGCCTCATGGTTGCCTTCAAAGGGCAGAATGTAATTTCAGCTTCTTAACAGTTAAGGAGTAGTTACATTATACAGTCTTAAAATCATTTCAGCCTTTTGAAGGCAACCACGAGGCTGTTGTGGTCCCTGGAGAAAATGAGTTTGACACCCCTGTTGCAAAGTGTGTGTGAGAGAGAAAAGGTGTGTGTGTGTAGGCACAGTTTGTATCAATGGAAAACTACACAGCTTCCCTGTTCCCATTCACATATGGAGATGGAGAAAGAGAGAAAGGAGACAGAGTACCTTGAAATCTCCTTCTCTACTGGAGCTTCTGGACTGTGAAAAAGATGCCCCACCTCCAGTGGGTAGCCCTTAGTTTTGCAGAGACAAAGACCAGTCTGAAATGTGCAAAGATCAGATCTGGAGTCAGATACTGGGGAAGAGCTCTGGGGTGAAACGTGAGAGGACTCCAAGGAGGGTCTCGGGGAGCAGGGTGTGCTGGGAACCAAGGCAGGAGGCCAGACCTTCCTGGAAAGGTGGTGAGGTGCTCCCAGCAGCGACATGCTGCAGGACTGTCGAGAAAGAGTCATCTGCTTTGCTGCAAAGTAAACCCCCCTCACTACCCCCACGCTTTAGGAGAGCTGTTCCCACAGATGCTTTTGTGGGGAGGAATCCAGGAGCAGGTGCCAACTTCCCTAATTCCATCCCAGGAGCTGAGAAAATCAAGAACATCTGAAGGAGGTGAGATGCAAACCCACCTATCTTCTTGCCCCTCTCCTCCCCTGTTCACTCCTCTCTGGCCACACTGCCTTCCTTCTTCTCTAAGGAGCCTCCATGCTTTGCCCTTGCCATTCCCTCTGCTGGGTGTCCAGTCACTCCCTCACCCCCTTCAGGTCTCTGTTTCAGTGTCGCCCTGCCCCCTCGGGGAGGCCTGCCCTCACAGTCCGTTTGAAACTGCAAAGTGCACACCCAATTCCTCTCTCTTCTCCACTTTATTTTTCTAGCACTTGTCTCCTTTAAATTTATTATATATTTTACACATTAGTTTTATGTGTTGTCCTCTCTTCCCCTATAGCATGTAAATTCCACAAAAGCATGGATTTGGGTCATTTCTGTTCCCGTTATATCTCAGGTATCAAGGCTCTCCCAGGGAGCCTGGCACATAAGTAAATGTCAGTTGAATGAATGTAGAGTTGGGTGGAGGCTCGTGTCCAGAGCCAAAATTAGCTTCCTACAACTCACAGATATCTCCTGGAGAGCATCGTACTTCCTGCAGGATGTGAGCCAGGGCACAAACCATTCTTGGTCACCTCTGTGACGTCACCCTCCCGTGCATACCAATTGACTGCAGAAAGGAGAGTTGTTACCACTGTAAACCTGGTCATTGCACCTAACACAGTGTTTATCTTATCTGTTGACTTCTTAGAGCCACAGTTATTACTGATAGAGCAAATTACTGTGGTGCTTTCATTTCTCTGGAAGTCTAAATCTAGGTGTGCTCACGGGACAGTGTCAAGCTCGACAGTCACACCGAACTTGGTGTCTCATTCATCGATAACTTTTGCCCTAGGTGATGAATCTAAACGCAGAAGGTAGCCTGACCCTAAACTAAGGCTTTCTTGTCTTTAAGGCCCGCCATTCTTTCTGCCTGCAATGCTGCTCCTGCTCAGAAAAATGCTTAGCCATCTGCTGATGAGTTCTGTGGTTGCAGCTTGCAACACTAATTCCCTTTCTTTTGGAGGCAATGCTGATTTTCTTTTGGGAAGTCATCTGCCCCCACTCTTGGTCCTTGTGGTCAAGTGTGGTGCATGCCACTTCTGGAGGTTTTTTTGGGAGGTAGGGGGGTTGTAGACACATGACCCAGGCCTGGCAGGAACATGTCAGAATAAACCCTCCTCCCTAACTATGACAATTGGGTCAGGGAATAGCACCTTATTTGTGTCCATTGAGAATTGGCTCTGAGACTTAAATTACCCAGAAAGAGGCACTTTTTCTCTGCCTCTGCTGCCAACTTCATATAATAAGTCTGGTGCTGTTGGTGGCTCTTGCTAC